TTGATATGTACCCTGGTAATGCTAGAGTTGGTGGTATGGTGGCACTTGGGAGCCTGATGGCTAACGGTCCTGTCTGATAAAAAGTGAGCATGTCCATGGCTATGTTATACAAAATAAAGATTAGGTTTCCCTTCCAAAGGAAGTTCCAGCAGTTGCTGACTGCAGGATAGGAAGTGTGCAGATTTACAGCGTACAGATACAGAAAATGTGTTTCTTTTCACTAAGATGAGGCCTAGTGAAGCAATGGAAATAGGACATTGCCCTTACATCTTGATCCTTGCATTCAGAAACATGGTAACAGTGGTGGGGTACTGTAATACTTTAATCAATTTATTTGCTTACTTTTCAGGTGAAGTGGTAGGAAACTTTCTTACTCTTCCTAGGCTGAACCCAGATATTTTACAACTAAGTGAATAAAGTTGTGATCAGTTGTTAAATCACCTGCTGTTATGAATGATCCACCTTTCGTCGGATTGTTTTACGAACTACGTGATTATACATCTCTCACTTGCGGTTCTCTTCCCTCTGTTACTTCAGATGACCGTTCATAGTTCCTCCATGCTTGGTGTAGCAGGTCATCGCCTCGTGTTGGGTGCTTCCATTCCAATAGCTCACAGAGTTCTTGGCCCACCTTAAAGTTAGCAAACGTTTTGTGAGGGGAAGGGACCAGAAGGTCCATCTGTCCTCTGCAATTTGGAACAACCCCCTCCTTAATATGGCCACTGGGATTTGTATTGGACGAGACCTGGAACAGGGCACTGCTTCAGTGCTGGTCACAGAATGGTTGTGGTGTGCAAGTCTGAGAGAGTAAAAACTCATTGTTGCCATCTGGTAGATATCAGCTTTGATTACTGGATTTTTTTTTTTCAAGACAATTCCTGCAAATTTGGTATTTAAAGAAGTAACTCTCCCCCTTTTTTCCCCCCTTCTTGAGAAATTATTTGAAAGCAAGTAGCCATTTTTCCTAGCAGGAAAGGCAGAGCAAATGGAATGTGTAATCTAACCAGGCATGGCCAAATGAATCTTAAATTTCCTAAAAAGCAAACGTGAAATGAGGATGTAGAAGCATGGGAACACACAGTGGTGGTGATGACATGTTACTGAGGGACTAACTCAGGTCCTTGCTTAAGTACCAGAAAAAAACCCCAGCCTCTAAATCTAGCTAAAAATTATTTCTTTGGAAATGATTTGTTAACAGATGGAATTAGCTAATAAAACAGTGTTTTACAAAACTTTCAGTCATTATAAATGAGGGGTTTTTTATTATTATTTTATTTCTTTACACTGTTCTTTGGAGGGCACACTATTTAAGACATTTGAAGAGGACATAAATGTGTACATTTCTCTAGTGCTTGTATAAATACTTTAATTAGGACAGATTCGTTTACATATTCAGAGTCTGAATGTACCCAAATACAGTTGCTTTCTTCATATTTGTTTTGCTAAACACTTTAATTCTGCTTTACTTAGTAGGAAGTGTAGGATCTTAAGCATACTTGTTCTAGTGATTGTTGTTAATGGGAAACCTTTAACCAGTAGAGCAGATTAGTGTGCTAAGTCCATTCCTTTGCCAAATAGGTGGGATGCTTTGTAATCTAGAGTCTGTGGTTCTCTTGATCCAGGCTCTGGAAAAAAAACTTACTTTGGGAGTATGGAGAGGTGTTACAGGCTGAGGCTTTGGCAGGTATCCAGACTAAATGCTCAGCCAGGTAATTTTATTTTCTGGATTTAGAAGCTAGAATGTCTAAAATAGAAAATGAGTTTGTGGTTGGTCTTGATAGGTTGAGGGTTTTTTTCCTAAACTAAAGTACAGAAGGTATGAATTCACTATGTGAGGAGATAGATATTCTGCGTGTCTCCTACATGGCTTTCTTGGTCAAGGAATGGTAGAAGGTGTCTGTGTGTTAGAACTGTAAGGCAGTTTGCTATTTTGGCCTGTATATCCATGCAAGATGTGAACATGAAGTGATGATTTGCATTTACAATTTAATGTCTGATGTTCTAATTTTTCAAAGATTGTTTAAGTTAGATCTGAGAAGTGCAAAGTCCCCTGTTAATTTCGGTGCAAGTAGCATCGTAAAGATAAAAAGCTGTGTCCACTGAAACATGAAGAAGAAAGTTCTTAATCCTTTGTGACCTACAGCAAATTGCTGCTTTCTGATGAAAAATCATATGCTTGATATACCGCTTTCCTTTTCCTCTCATCAAAGAGGAGCCAAAGGGAAAGAATTAATTGGGGTGTTTGGGACAGAGGAGAAAGTAAAAAAAATCAAAAAGATTAAGCAAACTGTGTTAAAAGAGGAAGCAAAAAATTGTGCATGATCCTGTTGAATTCATAGTGAAAATGGTGTCTCATTTTGTAACTATCTTGGAACGTGTCCCTTCTCTTGAACATTTTCACTCTTACAATTTTTCACTGAGAGGTGTGTTTCAGAAACTTTTGATGTGGTATATGCAGTGGGGGAAATTTGAAAAATAAACCTATAGATTCACTCAGATACACTTCTGTCATTGAGTAGCCTTGATTATCAACTATCTTGCAGAGATGAATCACACATTCTTATATACCAAAAGGTTTAGGACTTTGAAAATGAAAAAAAAAAATAACAAGCCAAACCCCAGGTTTTTTTACAGTTCAATTTTAACACTTCAGTTAAAGTAGTCTCAAAGGTAAGGTTTATAATAAAACCACTGCATTTATATACAACATAAAGCTTTCTGAATAAAAATAAAAGACCATAATATATGCCTATAATTAGTGGAACTGCCTTGTAAAAAATGAACGTCTAGATAACAGGTTAACCAAGATTAGCCAGTGTAGTCTGAATTATAAATTGTACCTTTATGTTCTATATTTTCCAGTGCAGCCTCGCGTATGAAGAGTGGTATATAAACAACAACAAAATGCTGACTCTTTTTTGTCTCCCTGCAACAAGAGAAAAGATACTGCTATTGCTTGTCTGAAGGATTTTTACTTGTTATTGGGGCTTGTATTTATACATAGACCTAAGTAAACTTGCTGTAGAGTATAACTTCCATGAAATATGTTTAAGAATATTGGAAGGCAACTTGGATTATCTAGCCTAAGGGTATTTAAGTGAGAGAACATAAACTGATAGTGGCAATGGGACAGTATGTCATTGGTGACATAGGCCAGCAATGAAGAGAACACAAATGTAGTAGGTTTGCTCTCCAGTAGTTGTGCAGTACGAATCATTACAGGCTAATAAAGACTTCTGTAGCCGTACCTATACCCTATACAGTAGGGCAAACGTTGCAGTGCTCGTTCCCCAGGCTCTCACCTAGGACTGGATGTTGGGGTGAAGCCTGGGGGGGTGATGGGCTGGCAGGAACCCTAGGCTCATGGGAAAAGAGACGGCCGCTTTGCTGGTAAGGCTTGGGGGGAAAAAAGGTGACTGGATCGCCACAGTGTCCCCTCTCTGCTGGTGTGACAGTGGTGCTTTTGTTGGACAGCGGGAGGTCGGGGCTGTAGGTTGGTTGCACGAGGAAAACGACCTTTCCTGCAGAGCCTGCCCAGCCAGAGGATGGAAAGCTTAGCCAGTGGCTCGTGGTGACGGTTGAAGCAGAGCTGCAAATGCTTCGCTTTTAAGGGCTGTAGGTTAAATTACATAAATCTTAAAATTGTATAAATAGTAGTCAAGTTGAATCCCAGTATGGGAGAAAATGTATTTAAATTGTATTTAAATTTGTTGGTAACAATCTGATGGTAAAACTGACAGATTTCAACTGTTGGGCAGTTCGCCCCTTCATTATGAAGGGCAGGATTTGCCGCTTGGTGTGTTCAATAATAAATATCTAGTAGTTGCCAAGAACTGTGTTAGAGATTTTAGTTTTCTACAGAAGGTGAATTTTTCAAGTATTGGCACTGAAAAATGACAGAAAATAAAGCTGCAAAAGTGTTTTGTGATGTCATCTAGCCTTATCCCAATTTTCTGCCCCAGAAGGGATACAAAAAACAGAGCCAATGTTCTCAAAGCTTTTAGGTGATGGAGAGAGGAGGAGCGTAGGGGAAGTTGATGATTCTGTGTAAAAACCTGTCTAGTCATATTTCCATGTCCCCCTTTTTCTTGGTTTGGTTTTTTTGTGTGCAAGTGTGTTACTGTCAGATTTAGAGCAGCTGCACTCTTCTGTCGTTACTCTTCTTAAATTCCTCCTTCAGGGTTCTTCTTTGGTCAGCACTTAAATATTCATCTCATTGACACAATCTGTTGCTTACCACTGCTTAACCTTCCTTGGATAAAGCCCATTATAGAGCCTAAACCTGTTGTTTTAAAGCTGTGGACAGAGTATCTTTTCCAGATCCAGCTGTGTACACTGAAGGCTGAGTAGCTTCTAGCTATTTGTCACAACTGTGAATGTCCAGTTGGTCACCAGTTCTGCCCATGGAGCAATTCGTGAGTGCTCCCGAGTCTTCCAGACAACACTGGCTGAGACAGCAGTTTTGTTGAATGGCTTCCTCTTAAGCAAGTGCAAGTGATTTAACTTGAAGTGAATTAGGAACAACAAAAACTTTTGGCATAGCTGCAGGCTTCTGACAGGACTATTTTTGGCATAGCTGTTTACAGAGTGAGAGTGTGTTTACTGCTTTCTTGGATGAAAATATTATTTTGTCATCACTCTCAAGACTTAGATATGAATACAGTCTGAAACTGCATTTGTACTGATATGGAGAATTAAAAGCTTGGACACAGTGATAAGTTCAGAGTATTTGTGTTACATATGTAGCAGTGAAAGTGACTCCATTGCATATTGACTGGTAAAAAAAGGAGGACAAAGCTATAAACATCACTTAATGGGCAAAGAGGGCACACCCACGTAGCATGGATAAAGTGTTATGCGTGTGACTTGTTATTGTAAAGCTAGATTTTTAAAACGGGTAATAAAATTGCTATAAAAGACCTTCAGTGTTATCTAGGGGAAAAAAATCTTTTCATTTTGTTTTTATATTTACAGTTTGACTAACAAGAATCTTTTTTTAGGGCATCCAAGATGGATCTCAAGTGTGCTCTGGAAGAATGTTCAATGGCACTGAACTTATTTCTGAACAATAAGTTCTCTGAAGCCCTGGAACTACTTCGTCCATGGTGAGGTCCTGTTATTTGCTGAAGTTACTGTAAACAGATAGTGTAAAATATGCTGTCTGGTAGTTGAAGATTAATTTAAGGCCTCTGAAGACAGTAGTTTTTACTTATTCCCTTTTGTCCAAAAGCATTTCTTAGTATCTTTGGGTTTTAGCAGTGCGCTTGTTTCTCCTTAAGACCATTAGCAAAACCTGCTAATGAAGCACTGAACTGTTCTGTTGGAGTTTATCATTCAAGCTGTCTTTCCTCACGCAGAGGGGAAAAGCAGGGGAGCAAGACCTTATCCAATGTATCTTTGATCAGAGAATTTCTACAGTGGAACTGCTTTTGACAGGACAACAAAGCTGGAACAAAACTCCAGAATACTCTTTTTGTTGCTTTTTATATTATGTTTGAGTCACAGTAGCGTTTACCCTTAAAACCCACCTTTTGATCTTCTGACTAATTCTGCCTGTGGTTCCCCTGTTGCCTTTGCTCCACTGAGAAGAAAAGCATGGCAGTGCAGAGGGAGGGAACTAAAGAATACCGACAGGTTCGTAGGATAAACCTAGCTTACCTGTGACTGCCTGGGGAGGCAATCTGAGTGGCTGTTCTTTAGGACTGGGATCTGAATGAATCCCGTTCACTCTTCTTCTCCTGTCTGTGTCTCAAAGATGTGTATGATGTTGAGGGATGTGTCAGTGAGAGGTAGTAGAGCGAGGTGAAGTTATGGCTCTGCAGTTTGGTGATAGTAAGACTGAGAATGATAGGTTGGTGTTGTTAGGTCAGCAGTATGGACAGGTGGAAGAACATGGTTAAATGAAACCTTGGGAGGATGACACAGCTATCAAGTGTTTGCTTGTAGTCGTATGGAGAGCTCAAGTGTAGAGGAGGTAGGCAGGAATAATACCTTTTCAGATGAGCTATACGTATACCCAAGCTCATTCTCTGAGCATTGCGGAGTGTTATTTGTGATAGAGCAACGCTTTGAGAAGGCCCACCTGCACTTGTGCATGCTAAAATTGTTTTTGGGTAGTATGCAAAATACCAAATTCTACATGCAAGGATTGTGCATGCGTGTATTACTAAATACACAGACATATTACCCAAATATTTTTTGTACATTTCATACATACGTGTTTCATTTTGCGTTATAAAACAAAAAAACCTTGTTTCATACAATAGTGTTTTTATTTACAGTAAAGTATTTCTTTTAGTTGACTTTTTCTATGAAGAAGAAAAATACTGTAAATTCCATGATTTTGATGCTTCAAGTCCCTGGCAGCTAATAGACTTTGAGCTTATTATATGGCGTATTCAGCTAATCTGCAAAGGAGGACCTAGCCTAGCACGGAAACAAAAAGCCACCTTTAAAAATAGAGGCGCCAATTGCTTTACTGAAAAGTAGACTTTTAAAGAAAGTTAAACTTAAATCCTTAAATAATGTAAAAAGTTTAGGGAAAGTGTTGATATATTTAAGAAATAAACACTTAGCCCAAGGGTCTGTCTTCCTTGACTCTGCTGAAGTTTCCTGTCTTCAGAATTACATTTGGTGGGTAGCTCCGTGGGGAAGAGAAAAGCTCAAGGAAACTGGAGAGGATCCAACAGAGAGCGAGCAACATGGGTAGAAGACTAGAACATGTGACTCAGTAAGATTGTGAGAGCTGGGTTTGGTTTAGTTTGGCAAAAAGGAGACTTGGGCATTAACCTAACAGCAGTCTGGAGCTACTGAGGGGAAGCTGCAAAGACAGAGACATCTTTCTCCATAGTGGCAGATGGTAAAACAGGAGGCAGTCACCCCAAGTTGAGGCTTAGGAGGTTCAAACCGGACATTAGGAAAAAGTACATGGATAGTACAGTACCAGAGAGGCCTCCAGAGGGCTATGCAGCCTTCATTTTCTTGAACCACTTGAAACTTGGTTAGACAAAACCTGAGTTCACCTGACATAGTGTTGGCAATAGTGCTGCTGCAACTGTTAGGTTTGAGTATATGACCTTCCGTAGCCACTTTCCAACAACATTATTTTTTTTGGATTGTGTAATTATGTTGTGGAAGCCAGGCTGATTCCGTGTAGCCATTTATGCAGCACTGAGCATGTGTGTACTGACTTTTCTGTGACACAAATGCAGATTTTTGTGTCTTTGGATCAAGTAGTAATGTTAGAAGGATGTCCTTACTTCTTATGCTAAGTGAAAGCAGATGGATGAGTATTTATGTCAAGGCTTAATTAGCTAAATTAAATTGATATACCAGCAGCCTATAAATGGGATATAATTAAGTGCAAATGTTTGTGTAACCCAGTTAGGATATGTTCTGGAACTTGCTGTGACAGTATCCTGTGGAGGCAGACCTGTAGCACCCAGTGGAAGATGATACTTGCTAGGTTATGTTCTCATGTCCATTACTTTCCCGCTTTATTCTTCTGACTTTTCACAAATTAATGCAAATGTCTCAGCATTTAATTTTGTATTGTAATTTAAAGTTTTGCTTAAATGCACAAGATTTATATGTTTGCCCTAGGTCTAAAGATAGCATGTACCATGCCCTTGGGTACAGCACTATTTTAGTTATGCAAGCTGCTATGACCTTTGAACAGCAGGATATACAAATGGGAATTTCTACAATGAAGGAAGCTTTGCAAACCTGCCAAAGGTAAGCCCAAGCAGTGAACATTTATGAGGTACTTAATCCACTAAGTGTTCTTAGTAAGATATCTCAGCTGTCTGTACACTTTCAAAGCAGGCTATTGTCAGTGTGATACTGATCTAAATTTGGAAAGGTGGAGTAAGTCTCACTATCCAATTATTATGGGTAAGAATATGTTTCCTAGTATTGTGGAAACGACAGATTTGTCAGGTCTAGGCATGTATGGCCTCTAAAGTTAGTTAAATGTTTGGTTGGGTATGTATACCTTCACGTAAGCTGACACTACCCGATTGAACTGCCTGAGCTATTTCAACCTATGACTTTTTGTTTTCCATGGGGATCAACAATTTCAAAGCTCCATATTTTTAATTTTCCCTTTCATCGTGACAATACTCTTTTATAAAAGTTGTTTGCAAAGGTGGACCTGATAGTCTAATAGGATTAAGCTTGTACTGAGGCTTCTTCTAAAACCAAAGCAATTTTTGTATTATTGTTCCAAATATAAGTGTTTAGCTTACCTTAAAATTAAAGGGCTATTATTCCTTTCAAGAAAAGGATCTGTACCTTTTGCTTCTGGTCTTGCTTGGAACAACAGTGAAATAGAGTAGAAAATAGAAGTTATTAGTGACCTTTTATTTTTTTAATTAAAACACCTTAGAAAATGGGTTGTCAAAGCTAAAGTGCTTAACAAGACTCTGACAAAACCAGAAATGAGTGCTTTATTCTACTGAACTGGTTCTTCATCATATTGGTTAGGCCATAATTTATCATTAATGTTCTCCAAAGAAATTACTTCCAAATGTTGTTAGTTTAGACATTTAACATCACCTCCTTAGCAATGACAAACAAAAGAAAAGGAAGCAGGACAAAATGATCAGATACTGCTGAGGAAAATAAAGGGTCAGCAGTTTCTGCCTCTTTTTCAGGTGTGCTATGGATTCACTGTTCAATCTGAACTATGTTGTTTAGTATGTCTGAAAATGAGGTGTCTCTTTGTACTTCAGATGGTTTCAATGAGCGCCTCCATCTCTTCACGATACAAACTTTTATTCTTAAGTGCTCTGGCCTAGTCTGTCACAAAACTCATAAAATGCAAGATAAAGGCAATGAAGCACTCCAAGGTGAAGAATTGCCAGAACTACATGTGCCTTAATTGACCGTATTTTTTTGTATGCATTATGTTAACCTGTAGTGTCATAATCTTTGTTGTTAGGATGCTGTGCTTTTCAGTGTGCAGAATAGTGTAAACAAATGATAAGCTAATGCTCAGCATTTATAATTAATGACTTCCTGGCTTACAAAGTACATTCCTTTTCTGAATGCAGGATTGTTTCTTTAGCTTCTTCATCAAGCAGAGTTGTTTATAAATAGTAACTAATTCATTTTTTGAATGCCATGCTAAAATAAACTAGCAGTTTATAACATGGACAGTTGAGATCTGTTGAAAGTAAAATATGTGACTGTTTTGACGTAATATCTGGCATAAAAGTGCCATAAAATACTGAAGTATTTATGTTTTCATTTGTATTAAACACAGAGCTCCCTTTGATTTTTTTCATTCTAATTCTGAGTGAAAGTTTAAGAAATGGAAAAAAGTGATCCATAAAATTTTTAAGTCCAGTTCAAGTGGCTTGCCCAGCGTCAGAGAGACCTCTGCAGCTGGTGGGTGGAAGTGGGGTGGAAGTTACTGTACACTTAAAGTAGATTAAATGCACGCTTGGAACATCAGTTAAGGTTGGATAGGCTTCTGCGTCTAGATGCATACCAGTGGCCATGATCAGAGTACTCAAAGAATTGCAACTATTGGCAAATCATCACTTCAGTAAGAATGTCTATAAATTGTGGTTGGAAATGGTTAAAAATTACAAATAATTAAGTTCAAGTTTGTTTTGAAATGTCACTCATGCTGTGTGGGTTTCTTTTCTTCCACGTACAACTGATTTAGATTCAGGAAAAGAAGCACGGTGGTGGAATCCTTGTCCAATCTAGTATCTAAACAGTCAGTGGATCAGTTGAGTGAAGGTAAGTGGTTTGTAATACAATTAAAATAAAGTGAAAAAAGCTCAAAACCACCCTACCAATGTGTACGAATATGCTTAACTCTGTAACTTGACTAGTGCCTTACAGTAAAAAAAAAAAAACAAACCAACCACCTATATGATGGGTTTTTTTGAATTTGAATGCAAAGCTTCTCAAAATAGGGGGTTCAACCTAATTTTTTTCTGGCTCTGAACATGCATGAATTGAAGGGAATGTCTTTCACAATACATTATAGGACTGAAGAGAGATTTCCGTTTTAGTTTTTTTGTTTGTTTGGTTGGTTTTTTTACTTAAGACAGCTCCCAAAACTTTAAGAATCATTGATGCTGTGGAATATGTCCTTGTCATTAGTTGCATTGGAATCTGAATATGTTAAGTTTTGTGGTTGTCTGTTTTGCCTTAAGGTGTTTTGGGAAATGGTGTCAGTACATTGTTCATGGCTCTGAAAATGCTGATCTCCTATTTCTGATTTGGGCAGAATCAAGTATGCATTTTTTCTAACCTGACACAAAAGAATCCTCTTTAATACTGGACACATCAAACTCGCCACATGTGTACTGTACATACTGCAGCCTTGTGCACGTGGCTGGTCTTGCAGCATGGGTGCAGAGTAGCTCATGTCTTGTGTGTTAAGTCAAATGTACTTCAGTGCTGCATGAGGACAGAAAGTCTGCCTGGGGCTTTTGGTTTGTTGAGCATGACTTAGTGAAAACCTGTTCGTAATGTCTTACTGGGCTTAGGAAAAACCTGAGCCGCGGTGAGTGTTACCATTCATCTGTAAAAGTTTTTACTAAGACATGGAAGAAGGGTTGGAAGACCTAGTTGCTGTAGGGTGATATTTATTTAAACTTAGGATCAATGGAAAGTACAGGAGAGCATCCACCAGAATGACAAGTAGCTTTTGCCCTAGGCTGAAGTCAGCTCTGGCAAGATCAAAGGTTTTGTCTGAGGAGAAGCAAAATAGAAGACTTCTATTGGGATTTGTGTGTTACAGCTATTATTCTGCAGTTATCAAAATGGCAACAGCAGAATTCTGCTTTTTTTTCTTTTCTTGGCAGCATTTTATTTGTTCCAGTGACCCCAAGAAGATAATATTGACACTAACTTTGCTGACAGTAAATAACTTTTCTTTCTCATATAGAGGAAATGCATGCTGAAATCTGCTATGCTGAATGCTTGCTACAGAAAGCAGCTCTCACCTTCGTACAGGTAAAGTCAGTTGTTTATTTTGTATCTGTGTTTAATGGAAAGATGTTAATACTTGTAAAACATTGTTCCCACAATAGATATGGTATTTAAAACGCAAACTTTTTCCTAGTGAGTGAATGTTATTTCATGGCAGTGTTTGAAAGTATGGGTAAATACTGTGCTACCCAGCGAAATCCTCTCTTTGTTTATATGAATAACCAAAGATGTTATTGATAGCAAGGAAACAAAAACCTAAGGTATATTGCAGTCTTACGAGGATGGTATGTTTAAATGAATTGCCTCACATCTGCCAGTGTCCAGCACTTGTTTAAAAAGATGTTCAAGTATAAGGAAATGTCTTGTTTGAAAGTGCAAGTCTTTTTTGCACAAAAAGGATAGAATGTTTCCCAACTAACAAAACTTCAACTGATGCGTGCTTGTCTCCCAATTCAATATTATTCTCCATGCACTTTTGACATGGTGTCAGGAACAATATAGTAATGAATGATTATAAAATGAGTGTGCCTTAGCATCTGAGGATGGTGACGATAATGAAAATGTAACTATTCAAGAAAGAAGTAGCAAGAGGGCTTGTAGTAAAACACTTGCATTTGGTTGTTCAGTCTTGCAGACAAAACAACTGAGGTCTTTTGAAATGGTGACCCTTTTGTAGAAGCCAGAATTTCCTTTGGTTGATGATGCTGAGCCTTTTTTTGTGCTGCTTAATTTTCCACATCATATATGCTGTTCCTGAGTATTTCAATGTGCATTTCTGAAATGCCTGCACACATTCCTCTTCGGTGTGAGTTCTAAGAGAAAAAATTCTGTCCTGTTGAGGTGTTAACCATCTTGCTTTTCAGGAATTTATTTTTGATGGCTAGTAAGTACATTGTGGCTTTACTTTGACTTTTTTCTGGAGGTTAGTAAGCACACATGTTGGGTAGTACATGTGAGTACTGTTGATCAGCAAAGGGAATTCATCTGTTCGGGGGATTCTTTGGTTTGTCTTCTGTCAGGTTCCGGGCTCACTTGTGTGTGTCAGAATCGGTATTTCAAAACTTTCTTAAAAGTTCCTACAGCACCACCTGGTGGAGAGCTTTCTTGTTTCATTTATATGCATTGGAAATTCTGTTAAAAGTAACTGACTTTTTTTTCACCCCCCTCTTAAGTTTTAAAATTTGTAATATGCACCAGAGCAATGTTACACCAGAGGGTGTTAACTTCAGTCTCAGAGATGAGTCTAATAACTGAAACACATTTTTAATGTTTCCAACTACTGTTAAGTTACAAATAAATTTAACTGTAGCTGGAAGATTTTTATGTGTGTATTATATGTATAGCTGAATGCACATTTCTGTACAATTAATTTTTTTTTCCCCAGGATGAAAACATGATCAACTTTATCAAAGGTGGCCTCAAAATTAGGACAAGTTACCAAATATACAAGTAAGCCATTAGAAAACACTTGGATTCAGTGTTGGTATAAGCAGGTGCAGTTGCATTAATACCTCCAAAATAAAAAGAAATATTTTTATAGCAGTCATAATGATTATACTTCATATGATTTCTAAGTCGTGCTTCTCCTTCCCTCCTTTTTTTCCTGCATCAAAAGAGAATGTCATCAAGTGCTACAGATGACTCAGGGGAGCAAAAGCAAAAATGAAACTTACCACCAGTTTGAAGGAGGAGTAAATCTTGGAATCGGAGCATTCAACTTGGTATGACTTTTTCAGACTACAGAAAGGCCATTGGGATAATCTGTAGGATTCTTTCTTTGCAGATACAGTACTGTAATCCTGTTTAAAAATTACACATTTGTAAAATGGAGATACAGGTTTTGAAGGTTTTATGAAATATGAAGACAGCAGTGGCTTTTTGCGTGCATGCCTTCTAGGATCTTTTTACTAAGTTATTCTGAATTATGTTTAATTCTCTTGGACTAATTAATTTACGTATTTCTTAAGAGGAAAACCAGCTACATCTACTTGTGTGTACCAGGAATTTTTAAGATGCTTATGCTGTTGATTACAGGATACCTGGAGTGACTGCTTTTATTCCAACACCCATATGTATACCATGCTTTGCTTCAGTGGCATACTGTAGATTGGCATAGGTAATTACAAATTCAGAATAATGAGCAGTAGTTTACTGAGTTTGTGCAAAAGAAAACTGGGCACATCCACTAGCAGTTTTCTTTACAATTTACTACAGTTGCCTTTTCACACCTGTTGTGGCAATGGTGAGAGTTGATTTCTGCTGGTATGTTAATTTCTGTATCATTCCAGGCTGGAGCTGGCCAGTTCTGAGTATGGTCAGAACTCCTCAGGTCTGTATGCACCTGTCAGTCTTTAAAACCCAAGCAACTGGTAGATGTCTGTGTTCATAAGTGCTCTGACCTTTCCTGATCTTCATGAAGTCTGCTCAGTAGGAAGCTCAACAGAAAAAGTCTCTGCTGGGCAGAGTGTGTTAGGATGAATGCAGCTTTCAAAAACTGACCTTTGAATAGACCTTTTTGTAGTGCTCACTGAAAAGGTGGTTGTGATCTTTGTAAGTTTTCTGTTGTGTAGCATGTGGAGAATGCAGTTACAAGAGGAAGAAAAAGTGCATGTAATAGAGTGCTAAAGAATGATAACAATAGTTAGTATTTCTAACACAAGTATGCTTGCTGGTCTGCTAATTCAGTGCTCCCACAGTAGGAACAAGTAGAACTTTTGTGACACCATTGTGTCATTTGATTGCGGGTAAAGGAAGATGACAATTGTGGATTGTAAGTACCACCGAAATGGATAACACTTTCATTCCAAATGACCCACAATTTTCAAACAATTCTGATCAGCTGAAGACAGAAATATCTGTCATTATCTGAAGAAGCACAGCTGGACTCTGTCTTGCTGTTTCCATGCTGGATGATCTGAGTTTCCCTGAAGGTGCAGACTGATTGCATATTGTTGATCATGCATATCAATTTTTGAGTTATTTTGTTTTATTTTTCACTTGTGTTTACTGGCATTTAACATAGTAGGTGGCATTTTTGGCTCAAGTTTATAGTGGTTTTACTTTTTAAATGTATATAGGTTTTTATTTACCTTATTTTTGTTTGAAATATATTTCAGATGCTGTCGCTTTTACCAGGAAGGATCCTCCGACTTTTAGAATTTATTGGATTTTCTGGCAATAGGGTATTGGATCTGATACTTGTTTTTTCAAATTAGTCTTTTCTCAGATAAAGACTGTATGGATTTAATGTCATATATTTCATACTAACAGTGTAATGATCTATATTGTTTATCAGTATTGTAGTGTTAAAAAGATGAGAAGTGGTTTAGATGGTGCAGGCGTAAAAGCACACATGGTGATATCCTGATTTTGAACACCTATGGGAAATGATCAGTCTACTTCAGAGGTTTTGAAATTGCAGTTTCCATTCCTTTTGCTGATCCTTAAGGAGAGGATATCAGCTTTCTTTTCTAGCCTATACAGTCAGAAATTAATGTTCGTCATAACAGTAACTGAGGGGGAATCAGTTCTACATTTTTCTACCCACAATCCGAGCACATTTCTCTGGGAGAAGGAATTTCTGAGTACCATGTGTTCACTGTGGAATCTCTGTACATCTTTTTTTCATGGATAAGGAAAGTATTTGTAATCATAGCCTTGTTTTTGTAAACCTAGCCTTGTTTTGTAAGTATCTTACAGCTCTTTAAAACTCTTTTTGGCACCCATAAGAAATAAAAAACCCAAACCCAAACAAAGCAACCCAGAGAATAACTTCAAGTTATTAATGAGACAAAAAGTCACCATATGATCTTATTGCTGTTAGCTTGTCCACAAATACAGTTCTGCTTATTTAAAGTTAGACTTCAGTGGAGACCGATACATTCTGTTTTTTCCTGTCAGAGACCTGGTTCATGCTGAAGTTCTTCCATAATACACATTTTTGCCCCGACTGAAAAGGCAATAAAAGCTGAAAGGAAAAGAACAGACAACTTTGGAGTATCACCACATTTTTTTGTATGATGTTTGAATTCCCCTGTAACTCATCAATTTGCTATGCAATGAAACTCCTGTTAGGTTAATACTTGTTTTGAGGCAAAACTGTTGAAATCTGATGTGTTGAGCACGGAAGCTCTGAGCTCTTCTCAACAATCCCCCAAGCAGTCAAGCTGTCATGTAATGGGCATAAGCTGGAAAGGGTGGGAAGAAGTTTCATGTGTTAAGAGCTGATAAGTCTCCATGAATCTGGATTCCTTAGCGCACACAAATTCCATTGTAGCTTCTGGAAACGGTATCTAGAAGTTGGTGTGTCAGCAGAGCTAGTATTTTGATCAGAACCTCAAAGTAGGGGCTGACTTGCTGGAAGGAATTGAGGATAACCAGGGATTCCTGTGAAGGAAGAGTCTTGCCAACAAGTAGCACTGGAACAGTTGAGAGAAGTTTTCACCGACCATAGATTTCAAGATGTTATTCTGAAAGGCTTATAGCCAGAAAATAGCGGGAAAGGGATGTAGACCTGTGTGTCTGCATGGTCTGTGTGGTGTGTCCATTTCACCAGAGCACTGAAATGCATGGGTAATTCTATTCAGTGTTAGCTTAATCTTCTCCTTCCTGAGTGCTATCAGCTGTGGCAGAACTGTTTTGGCAGAAGGTTGTGTTGGATCCGAGATAACAAAATGCTGAATTACAGAATACTTGCATCTGAAAGGAAAACTGGATTTGGGGGAGCCAGCAACTATTAATAGTAACTCTGTATACTGATAGTTAATTTTGCATGTGTTTGTGATGTTTCTTAGGAGTTGGGCCTCTGTCAACTACGGGAAGGCGCATCTGGCAGCAGTTTGAGGGCCATTCTGTGTACTTTCACCCTGTTGGTTTATCATACTTACGTCTCCTTAATCCTTGGTGAGACCCACTGTGTAGCTGTTCAGTCATGCTACACATTGTGATAGATACTGTGATTTTTTTTTAACTGAATTTCAAAACTGTGGCCAATTAGCTTTGTAACAGGAGATTGCTGTATACTTAATTATGATCTGAAACTATATCTCTGACAAAGCTATGTCTGCAGAAACAGTGGGGGTAGATACCATTATACCAACATCTTGTTCCATTTGCAGGGCTGTCTCAACATGCAACAGCAAAATATCACAAAACACTTTTAAGTTCAGACAAATCCTTATCCATAAGTTAATGTCAGATATTGTGAAAACTATCTTTAGAACGAAGTCTTTACTCCCAAACAATTTACTTGGGAGTTCAAATATGTAGAGAATTAATTGCTTTTGCCATGTGTGGCTAAAAGTCACCATTAATTCTGTGTGCATCTTTGATACATGTTTTCATGTTCTTTAGTTTGGAAGTATTTTAGTCCTTGTCCCTCAGGCTCATCAGGAAATTAAGGAGAACTTCATTTCTTTCAGTATCACCTGTACTTCATTACTGAGCTCAAAATTAGGAAAGGAGGCAGCTGAGGAATATTTTCCTAACTTGCTAAAGCACTTAAAGGGATTTCAAAATATAAATAGGATCTATGATGGAGCAGTTTAAAGAGTATTCATATATTCTATTCTGTTTCTACTTACAGACATTTACTATCTTAAAAGCACTTAGTATCTTCAGGACAAGAATTCATGTTTATAGAGACACAATATGATTAAATAATTCTGCTTTTGCATAAAAGCAGTCATCCTTTAATCTATTCAAGCCATAATATGATTTGGAAACCATGAAACTAATTTTTTTAAGTACATTGAGGTTGGTTTGTTATGTTTTCTAGGTACAGGAGAAGCCAACCTTCAGGAAGCAGACAGTCTCCTTGAACCCTACCTCCAGAAATTTCCAAATGTGTGTATTCTCAATAAATTCTATAACAGTAACGTAGTTCCCTAAGCTTAAAATGGTAACTGGGTATTTTTCTCATCTCCTTTCAAGGGTTCCATTATTCTATTTTATGCTGCCAGAATAGATATACTGAAAGGAAATTTTGAAAAGGTAAATGAATTTTTTCTGTTTAAGGTTTTTATTTGTTCAGTGTTCAACTTGAGGAAAAAAATAGCTAATTCATCTAAGTAACTTATTTTAGTTAGACTGATAATTATGCTCTTATCCCTGTTCATGTTCAGTGTCAATATTGATTCCAGCTCTCTGTGTAAATGAGACTGAAAGGGAAGTTTATCTCATTTTACTAGTCAGGTGTTCTCCACTTGGGTGCTAGGAAAGAATTTGTGCTGTAATTAGACATGGCTCTCATGTGGAGCTGCAATTGAGCCAATTTTCATCATTCTTACTTAACTACATCATAGGCGCAGTTGAGGTTCCAAGAATGCATAGCAGCCCAGCAAGAGTGGAAACAGATTCATCATCTCTGTTACTGGGAACTGATGTGGTGCTACACTTTCCAGCAGAACTGGCTTCAAGCATATCGGTATGCAGACCTGCTCAGCAAAGAGAGCAGGTGGTCTAAGGTAAATGGGCAGGTGGACATTGTTATGATATACCAGTAGCCTCTCCACAGCTAAATTTGCATTTAATTTCACACAATAAGTGTACTTTTGCTTTCTTTTGAAACCCATAAGCAAAGGAACAATGGCACCAAAATGGTAGGTTTAACTGGGTGGTTAAAGAGAAATTTTTATTTCATGTTCTGAAGCACCAGAGCCATAACTAACAATGCTTCAGCTCCTTGAAAAACAGAGGTACTTACCAGAGTTGTGAGTAAGAAGAGGGAGAGAAAAACTGATTACTTTCATCTCAAGTCAAGTTCTAACACTCACTAATAAAACTTGGCTGAAGAAACTGTTAGTTAATTAAAGACAGATAAGAGCACACCTACTCAGCAGATGCTTTGCAACATGAAATGAGAAGGCTGCTGGAAACAGGGTCTCATGAGAAAAGTTGGGGTATCTACCTTTTCCTTGTTGAAATGTTTCTCAAAGTATGAATGAAGGACAATGTGCAAATAATTTTTCATACATCATTTCTGTCTGTTGCTTTCTAGATTACTGTTTCATTATGCTTAGTGGAAAAGGGGATATATCCAATTCTTGACAAAAGAGGAAGAGAATAGTATATTCAATGTGAAGTGCAAATGTCTAGAATAGAATTATGGATGTTTATCTTTTTTCTCTGCAAAGTCTCGTTATTGAACTTTTCCTTGAATCAGTACTCAGATATTTTCTTCCGGTTTTATTAGGCATGTCTCAACACATAACAGGTCATATAATAACAATAATAGACTTTAGAATAGTTACGTCATTTAAACTCATCTCTTTATCAGTGATTTGCATAATAAATTGTCCTGTTCTTTGCAGGAGACCCCTGTAGCATTCTAACTTATTTAGAATATTAATAAATATGTTGAAAATAAAATTATAGCATAAATTATGTGACAAAGGAAATGCTAAACTGCTATCCACCTGCCTAAGCATTACTGGAAACACTTCGCTGCAGCAAGTGGGGTGAGAGATTTGAGTCCTTAGTACATTGACAACCCAGCAAATTAGATGTGGTAATATGTTGCTGTTTCTTTTTTGAAATAGGCAATATATGTATTCCAGAAGGCAGCAATTCTATGTATGCTTTCAGAGGATGATTTGAAAAGGACTGATGAGGACATTGTATCTTTATTCAGGTAAATATTTATAAAGCAACTACATGTGCGGTCTTTTTCCCCCGCATAAAAGTTTGTGACTTGAGTATCTTTGTCTTGTGTTATTTACTTCCTACTTATAACCATCAACTTTTCAGGTTTTCTCTTTGCTTTTAGCATCAGAATATTTAAAATGCTGCTTTTGTCAGCAAACATATGTCCTACAGCTCTGGTCTAAGTGGTGTGAAACAATATAAGATGTTATACTTAAGAGGTGAACAGCAAATCTTACTAAATGAAATAAGATGAAATAAAAATTACATAAACCAACTTCTGTTTTCTATTTTCCCTTCTTGTAGACAAGTGGATGGTCTAAAACAGAGAATTGCAGGAAAATCTATCCCAACTGAGAAGTTTGCAGTAAGGAAAGCACGACGCTATGCAAGTTCTCAACCAGTGAAGCTGATATTACCCGCCTTGGTATTTATGCTTGCTTTCTTTTCATCCCTTTAAAACAGAAAAGAGATAAGTATAATACTTTATACAGGGAAAGAATAATATCAGGTAGTATGTGTCTGCGTTTTTTAAATTAGGAACTACTGCATTCATGCAATGGGATTTTTGTGAAATGTACTATGGACTGGATCATGCTACCAATTACTAGTAGTCCAAAACCAGAGCCAGATTTTTCACGTGAAAGTTCAAACATACAGAGAATGTTTGCTGCTGTCACATGAGGCTGAAAGTCACCTTTCAGCTAGAAACCTGCATGGGTTTCTAGCATATGTATTCATGTTATTTAGTTTGGCAGGATTTCAGTCCTTGTCCTCCAGACTCCTTAGGAAGTTAAGGAGTACTTCAGTACTTTCTGTTCTTCTGGTGAAAATGAAGATTGGGGTGGGGTTTTTTTGTTTGTTTGGTTGTTTTTTTTCCCCACTTAGATCAAGTCTGAGTAAAATGTGCAGAAGTTAATGATACTTTACTAATGCTAGTCTAATTTCCCATGCTTTTAACTTCAGAGGCATTAGTAGTGCATGGTCTGTTTATGTGTACACAGCATTGACACTTTGCATATGTGTATGCTAAAATTCTTGTACATGGGTAGGTTAGCAACAACTGAAGATAAAAACAAAATTTGAGAAGGAATTTCGTAATGTTAAAGCTCATTGATATAGAAAGAGGGGTCCAAAGAAAATTAATCCATCATTTTTAAAATTCAACGTATACTCAGTTACATATAGAGACCCAAGTAATAAAGTTGTCTTGGGCTTGTACAGCACAGTGCTATTCAGTTGTGAGTATGTATCTTTTGGTCTTGCTGTCAAATGCAGTATCTTTTAATTTAAGAATTTTTCCATCATGGGTTAGGCAAAAATAGTGTATGGTGTTACAGCAGTAGGTGTAAATTAGACAGGACTACAGAATTGAAAGGAATCTAGCGTAATGTAGTTGATAGTGTCAATAACACTATTTCAGACTTTGATAGAACCAGTTTTTTTCTCCCTCTGAAAACCTACATAGTCACAGCACAATATAAGTGGAATTATTTCAACAATGTATTGTATCAGCTTCAGAATGATGTCAGGCTTCATATTTCAGAGGTGTAATTACAATTCAAATAGAGTAGAACGAATTATACTCTTGTGTTTGCAATAAGTAAGTAAAGATCTTGGCAAAGTTTCACATTGGTTAGCATTAACTCTGTATGTGTATTCTCTCATTCTCTTTATGTGTTACAATGTGATAATATTTAATGCATTGAAACAAGCATATTGCTTACTACTGTACCAAAGCATCTGGGAAGCTTTTTGCCAGGATTTCCCTTGGTTTTGTTTTTTTAAAATAAGATTTTGTAGGAATTATATTGGAAGTGTGTGTTGAATGTGTGTATTGGGACTACATTTTTATCCAGAAAGTTTTATCTGCTTCCAGTGTTGCTCCATATGGAAGGTAACAGCCTATACGTTATAGCATCTATATATAAACACATGCACAAGTGGGTGTTTGGGTGCATGCATATATATGTATACTGTATGTACATGCACACACCCACAGATACACAAATTTATCTATAATCCTTAGAAAGTAACTACTTTCAGCTGCTTCTTTAGTTCATGTGGCAGAGTCCACAAGTTGAACCTAAAATACCCAGTTTTGCTCATGTGTTACATGGATGATGGTAAACTATCACGTGATAAATTCTGTTCAGTTTTGTTTTTAAAGATCTATGAAAATATGCAATAGAACCCAGTAAAAAGTGTCAAAACTTTCAAAACTTAGAAACCCAGGTTAACTTTGCCCACACACATTCAATGTCATTTTGCCTTTCCTATGCATAGATAGATAGCCTTGTGCAATTTTAAGTGATTATTAAGGCAAATGTGATTGTCTTTGTAAACTTGCATGTAACTGACAGAATGTCCTGTACTCATTGTGGGTGGTTATTTGAAGTCATACAGACACATTTTTTCATAGGCTTCTCAACAGTGAGTGTTTTGGCTTTGGAACCTTTCATATTGTTTAAAATAAGTTTTTGTAGGCAGTATTTTTATGTACTCAAAATGTTCCGTAACAGCCTTCCAAGGGATACTCTTTAGTTAAATATTTATGCAATTCCATGAGTTTGTCTTGTTTATTTTTTTTTTTTCAGGAAATGATGTATGTCTGGAATGGCTTTGCAATTGTGGGCCAAAGAGCAGACCTCACTGAAAATTTACTGGTAACAATTGAAAAAGAAGAAACTGCATTACAAAATGAAACTAGTAAGTGATCAGTTAGGATGGAATTAATAAGCTGGTAAGAAATGCTGACATTTTTCTTTGCTTCTGTCTGCTAATGTTCTGTGAGGTAAGTGTTGACTCAGGTGATGTGCTATTAAAGCTGAGTATGGAAATTTTGGAGTTGCATGAAAGTTGACGGTGGTTCTTCAATATGTTCTTTATCCAGCTTGATGGATGCTGTAGAAGAACACAGAAAACTCAAGTATGTAAGGTGATTAGTTACAGAACTTAACTGATTCTTACTAAGACATTCCAGTGTCTGAGGGTGTTCTTGGACCATAATCAGCTAATTTCTTAAATGTCTGAAAAATATTTTTTCTAAACCCACTTATACCACACATTGACGTTACTACAGAGGACATATACTGAGCAGAATATGACTAAGTGTAAAGGAAATAGTAAAGTACTATGCATGAGACTGGTTTTTTACTTTTTGGCAAAATAAAACATGTTTGCTAGTTTTAAAATAAAACATCTTTAACAAATAAACTTTGACCATGGCTTTAGATCTTGAGGTATTGAAGCATAGATGTTCAGGGTAATATTTAGAGAATCAGTCCATAACTTATTTCTAAAGGAGCTTAAGTTCCATGACTACAACAGGTTTACTGCAAAAGTACTGGCTTTATCAGGTTTTATCAGGTGGGTGCTGTCATCTGTCATGTGAACTTCTCGGTGGACTTCTCTTTTGAGTTGTCTAGAATAAATAAATAAATACTATCTTTTCACACACAAAACTTTTAAAAATGGTAATTCCCTAAAAATAATTTCTCTTGAACTTAGATTTTATTCACACTTTATCAACAATTTAGCAAAAGTTAGTTTTGCCACATGATTAAAACATTAATTATGAAATGTAAAAGTACATATAATTATGATTTACATATAAACTGAGGTGATGCATCAGAAGTTATACAAGGACATACGAGAAATGCATAGTGGTAAAATCTGGGTAGTATAATAAACTAAATGAGAGCAACTTGCAAGGCCAAGACTGAACTGGGTCCCTTAATTTTTTTGTGCTGTTCTTCATATTTCTGTGGAATCAGTAGTGTGGCTCTTCAATCTCAAGTGTTTTTCCTTTTTTTATTGTCGTATTAAAACCAAAATGTAGCAATATGCAAGACACCTGCAAATAAAGTAATATTCCCATGAGTTCTGTGTGGAGGGTTCTGGCAGAAGGTGTTGGGGATCTGGTGCTGTATCATGCAGAGGCTTGTACTATAAGTTCTGATCAGTTGTAACAGTGAAATAAATTTCCTGTCAAATTCCTAAGCAGAGATGCACAAGGTACCAAAATAAAAGGAACAGAAGTAAAACCAGTATGTTTTTCTTATGGAAAGATGCAGTTTACAAGCAGAATATAATCTGGAAGCATATGTGGTTTTTATGCTTTCTGTATCTTTTTTAGTAATAACTGCAGCCAAATGTAGTTTTATTCTGGACTTTGCATCTGTGAACGTGATTTGCTTTCAAAAATATGGACTCAGACAAGACAAAGACTCTGATTACCAGAATTGCTGCTGAATTGAGACCCAAAGAAAGTGATTAAGACTATTAGCACAGTGTGGCAAGGACACATTATTTTAAGAGACAGCTGTCTCTCAAAGGACTTTAAAGGACTGCTAAGGTGCTGTAAAAAAGTGTGTTAATTATACACAAAGGTTACTCAGGGATTGAGACTTCTTAGAGAGAGCTGTTGATACTTCACTTGCTTCAACTGAACAGGGACAGCAAGGAATCTGTCAAGGATTGATAGTGGTTTTATATTGTATAGAGCTGAAAATAGAGATGGTAGAAGGAACAGATGAAAGACATGAGAAATTTCCCCCCCCCCCCCCCGGAAAGCTTATTTTTCCACAGTTGTCTCATCTCCAAGACACAAAAAGGAATTTGTAACTTAAAGAAAAATCTTTTTTTTGTTGTTTTTTATAATCCTGATAATAATATTCCCTCTGGTATAGAGGACTGTAGGAAGATGGTTCTCCCACATTTATTGCAAGGTTGTCTGTATTAAATTGGCCTGTGCATTTACTGTCATTTACTGTCAGTGTTTTGGCATAATAGCTTTTCTTCCTGTGGGAAATACCAGGGAGATACTAGTTGAAGTTGTTAAAGACTGGCAAGCTTTTACTGACATCAGTGCTTGCCCCCCGTAATTTCAATGAATGAGTCCTTTAGGAGACAGTCACATGAATGCAATACCTTAGCCTAGCAAAACAGGCTAGAGAGAATGCAAAATACTCACCCACTGTGCTTCTACCTGTCACTAAAAGCACAGTCTGTCAGTTATCTGTAGAGACCTCCTGGGTTTAAACACAGACAGCAATAAGCCTGAATGTAGTGGCAAAACACCTCACTGAATCCTAAGATGCTTTAGTCTTCCATGTTTCAGAACTGTTTACGTAGGATTTTTTTGGCAGACTATTAAGAAGAAAATTAACGTGACCTTAGAGAGCTGGTAATTAGTTGTAAACAACGTGATCTGAAGGGAGAGTGTTTTGCTTCCTGAATTGTTAATGTATGTGCTGCCATCTGTCTATCCATATGTGTTTTCTTTCTTTTCCTTCCCTGCACCAAGCAAATGCTATAAACCAAGGCAACAAAAAAGGACCATACTTGCTAAGGTTATACTTCTGAATCACTTTGCAAAAGCTCTTTAATCTGATATTTTCAGTCTTATTGAACATAAAACTTTCTTGAATTTTCCAAATGTTATACGCTACTAGTAAAGCTTCTTAATCTTTGAAGATGATGGAATACTAATAAACATGCCTTCTTGAATTTGTACTGCCAAATAATGCTTCCGAAAAGTTCTGCAGAACAGAGTCATAGTGTGTTCTTGTGCTTTTCATGTTACTGGTGCTACTGGAGGTCTGCCAGCGCTCTGCAACAGGGGAAGCTATTAAGATAATATACTGTGAAGGAGGTTTCAGTTTCACTGTAGGTTTTGCTTCTTGTATTAGGTGTTAGAAATCTTTAACTGATGCTAGTTTATGCCTGCTTTGTACTGACTTGCAGATACAGAAGACCAGGGAATATCTGAATGTTCCAATTTTTTCTTATTTCTCCTTAGCCTGTATCTTTAAAGAGAAAGATAACAGATCTTATGCACAGATCTTCTTAGACAGTGTTTAAAATTGTGCCTGAAGGTTATGTATGTTTTGAGGTATAAAATCTGAGAAGCAAGGTCCTGAGTCTGAATACATATTCCTTACTGAAAATCTAATTTTCCTTTTCATGATGTCTTCAAATTGTTTGATGTATCTCGCTTTTACTTTTAGATCACAGTGAATACTATATGGATGATGTGTGCATGTTGCAGTTACTGAAGGGCCTCTGCCTGAAACACTTGGGAAGACTCATGCAAGCTGAACTGTGTTTCAGTAAAGTAATTCAAAGGTAAAAATAACATAAACAGACTTCTAACCTTTGTTTTTTGTAGCTTTGGGTGAAATTTCTGATACTCCTATAGAAGCTATCATGTTAGAATTTTGAATAATTAAACTTCAACATCCTGTTAAGGAGCTAGAATTAAAAAAACCTCTGAAAGAACCACAAAACTTTGCTAGTATTTTTCTATAGCAATTTAACATTAATTAGCTTTATATAAATGTGATATTTTAGACCAAATAAATCAAACTGACGGGTAATGCATTTATCTAAATACATTTGGAATAAATATTTATGTATTTGCAGAACTATGATTATAAGTAAAGATAATTCACATGGATTTCCTGGGTTTTTTTCAGAATTTAGTACCTCAGTAGTTAATGCTTCTCTACATAGCTGAGAAGTTGTTGTTGCTAATTGTTTCAATTGAAAACTCGAGTTTCCTGTGTTATGGATTTTTCAAATACTTCAGGTGTCAGATCCATGCCTACTGCAAGGAGTCATGTAATGATTGTAGTTGTAAACTTTTTAGAATTTTTAGAGTAATTAGGCTGAAAAAGCAGTTGTCAGGCATGCAGGTTTTTTAATAAGTAACTTAGAAAAATTAATACTTAAGGAGAATTTGTTATGTATAATTCTATCATTTTCTTGCCATCTTGCTTTCTTTTGCCATTTCTAAGATCACAAGTGTGTTTAGTCGAGCACTTTGCAAGTTATAGGGCAGTGGGTTTTGATTGGTTACGAGTTAAAGGAATGCTGTTTCTGAAAGTCCTGTTCCAAAGCTAGCTGATACAGTGGAGGCTTTTAGAGCTGAGGCATCACAAAAGCCTTCAGACACTTCTTCGTAGAGGGGGTGTTTTGCATGAGGACAAGTTGTCTGGTAAACTAAATGTCTACCTTCTGGTCAGCTTTATACTCTACATTTCTTGGGCTGCTACAGTACACTAAGACTCTTTATCACATAAGCAGTCTCCCTGCTTTAGACATATTTTCTGTGCATCAAGGCTTGTCTTGGTGGATATGGTGCCTCTTTGGAAGTGTTGCTTTCAACATACTGAGAGCTGTTACAGTGCTTGTTGCAAACTTTTTCATTCTGCAATATTGGTTGATGTTATTCTATCCAGATAAGAATCCCAGAGTTGATTGTAAAAGACACAGGAAAGGCCAAGATATGCAGTGCCTTCTTTACCTTGTTCTGTAGTGGCAAGATCAACTTTCAGGAGTTCCAGATCCATGAAACCTGTGGGAAAGTCTGGAACAAGCAGGAATTACCCTTGATGGAGGAGCGTCAGGTTGGAAAAAGCGTGAACAGACTAGACATACATATGGCTATGGCAACTGGATACACCTAAATACATAGGACATTGGCATATATCCATGGGTGCTGAGGGAGCTGGCCAGTGTCATTGTGACACTTCATTAGCTTTGAAAGGTCATGGCAATTAGAGGAAGTTCCTGAGGACCAGAAGAAAGCAGATTTCAGCCCTATCTTCAAGAAGGGCAAGAAGGAGAATCTGGGAAACTGCAGGCCAGTCATCTTCTCATCAGTCTGTGGGAAGGTGGAGTAAATAATTCTGGAAGCCATTTCCAAAAGCATGAAGGTGATCAGGAGTAGTCAGCATGGATTTATGAAGGGGAAATCATGCTTAACCATCCTTATAGTCTTCTACAATGAGATAACTGGCTCAGTAGATGAGGGGACAGCAGTGGATGTTTTTTGTCTTGAGTTTGGAAAGGTTTTTGACACCATCTCCCACAATACCATCACAGACAAACTGATGAGGTCTCAAGTAGATAAGTGGGTAGTGAGCTGGATTGAAAACTGGCTGAACTGCTGGGTTCAGAAGGCTGTGATTAGCAGCATGAAGTCAGCTGGAGGCCAGTCACCAGTAGAATAATGCAGAGTTCGAGGCTAGGGCCAGTAGTTTTTTAACATCTTCATTAAGGACCTGGATGATGGAACAGAATGCAACCTCAGCAACTGTGCAGGTGATACAAAGTGGGAGGAGTGGTTGATAAGCCAGATGGGTGTGCTGCCATTCAGAGCAACCTGGACAGGCTGGAGAAATTGGCTGACAGTAACCTCATGAAGTTCAACAAAGGGAAGTGCTAATCCCCACCCCTGGGGAGGAATAACCCCATGCACCAGCACAGGCTGGGGGCTGGAGAGCAGCTTGTCAGAAAATGCCCTCGGGATCCTGGGCATCACAGTCTACCCCAAGCTGACTGTGAGCCAGCAGTATGCCTTTGCAGCAAAGGCAGCCAACAGTGTCCTGAGTTACAGTCAGAGGAGTGTCATCAGCAAGTAAAGGCTGGTGGTCCTTCCTCCCATCTCAGCACTGGTGAGGCCAAATCTGGAGTACTGTGTCTAGTCTTGGACTCAGTGGTGTAAGAGAGATGTACTGGAACAAGTCTGACAAAGGACCACAAAGCTGATTAAAGGATTGAAGCATCTGTCATACAAGAAGAAGCCGAGAGAGCAGGGAGTGTTCAGCCTGGAGAAGAGATGACCTGAAAGGGTTACCTGAAGGAAGCATGTTTTAAAAAAAAAAAAAAAAGAAACAGAGGGACAAACTCTTCTCAATGGTGCCTAGCGACAGAATCAGAGGTAATGGGCACATACTGAAATACAGGATATACTGTTTAAACATAAGCAGAGTACTGTTTTTATTGTCAAGTTGGTCAAACACTGGCACAGGTTGCCCAGAGAGACTGTGGAGTCTCCATCCATGGAGATGTTTGAAACCTAGGTGGACACAGTCCTGGACAGGTTGCTGCCATTGACCTTGCTTTGAGCAGGGGATTGGACTCGGTGATCTCCAGAGGTGCCTTCCAGCTACAGTGATTCTGAGAATTTCTTGTATTGAGGAAAAGTTGAATTTTCTGACTTCTCTGCTGATTTGTTCAGGCAAGCTAGGGTAAGGGGATCTCAGTGCTGTGTGTGGAAAGAAGTACTTGTATTATACTGCCTAATCCAATGAACGTTTTTATCTCAAGTTATCTTTTTGGATGGTTGGGGTTTTTTTGGACGGTTAAGTCACAAAATAGGATCCCAATCTTGGAATTTTGTTCATGCTAGATTGGGCAATGTACCACAGTACAATAGGAAGTAGGAAAGAATAATTTTTTGTTCCTAGGAGGTCCTATTGGCAGTATTTTACATCCACTCTTTGCAGGTATAATTAATGTGTACGGAATTAATCAGTAAAAAAGGTTCCAGAGTGTTTTCTCTGGCCACGTGCTTTTACATGCAGTGATTGCATTTAAAAGTTAACTGGTCACTTGAGGAAAGGTTGTAATTAACCACTTCTGTATTTTTTTGGTTTTCTAGTGAGAAGCAAATAAAATATGATAGTTATTTGGTGCCCTTCACCCTGTATGAGTTGGGCCTCCTATACAAACAACAGGATGAGAGAGAAAAAGCAATAAGATACATAGAAACTGCAAAGTAAGTGGATTTTTTTTATTTGTATCAGCCTGTAGATTAAGATTAGCTGAGTAACTTTAGCAATGAAGGCATGCAGGAAAAGTGGGGAGGGACTCTTTCTTAGGGGGTGTAGTGATAGGGTGAATGGTAATGGTTTTAAACTGAAAGAGGGTAGATTTAGATAAGGTGCTAAGAAAAAATTCTTCACTGTGAGGGTGGTGAGGCACTGGAAGAGGTTGCCCAGAGAGGCTGTGGATGCCCCATCCCTGGAAGTGTGCAAGGCCAGGCTGGATGGGGCTTTGAGCAACCTGGTCTAGTGGAAGGTGTCCCTGCCCATGGCAGGGGAGTTGGAACGATATGATCTTTAAGGTCCCTTCCAACCCAAACCATTCTATGATTCTATGAGTTTTTATTTCCTCCCAGCCCCTTTGCAAAGTACAAGTAATTACATATCTATGGTCTTGGCTTGGAAAAGTTGTCTGATATAGTTGAATTTTACAGTTTCAAGAAACTCTGTCCTTCAGACACAGTGGAGCCAACAATCTCAAACAAGACACTATGAAGGGAAAGTGTCTTGTTTTCATTTAGGCTTCAGAGATGCTGTGGCTCCACTGCATGCGTGGAGAGAAAGGATCTATACCACCTCTGTCCCAGAGAGCAGCTGTGGGGGGCTTATGTCTGCTGCTGTAAAAGTGTTAGTGGGAGTAGGTTAAAAGCCAGTATACTTCTGACCACCTCCCTTTTTCCTTTCACGTTCTGTCATAGAAGAGCATTAGAGAGCTAAATTTACTGTAAAGGAGCATGTTCGCTTCATCTGTAGATTGTAGTATGGGGTAGAATTTGCTCCTTGTGTGTACAGAGAAGTATACCAATCATGCAGTAGTGTTGTAAATGTGAGTTAGAAACAGCCTCCTAATGCCTTTGTTAGAAACTCAGTCTTTTGGCCTTTTTTTTTTTTAATCATATAATGTGATTTCCCTGGGTTTTATTACTCTGGCTGAGTTGTGGTTTGAAGCTGAACATACTCTTTTAGCTAACAGCCTTTCTTTTCTGTAGTCTTCTAGCTTGTCTTTTCACAGGAAACTTCAGTAATTGGGAGGGCTGTTGAAAGGATCAAAATAAGTGAAAGAGATGCTAAGACATGGATTCAGTTTATCAGGACAGTTGTTAGTACTGGTGTAACTCTCCGCTCAGTTTATGGGTGTAGCTTTAAATGTCTCATAACTCATCTGTGTATCAATCTCTGTTTCCTGTTGAAGGAACGATGGCCGTTAAATTTGGTACTTCCGTGCATGTATGAAGTAGAAACAATTGAGGCCAAAAATGTTTTTCTTAACAATAAAGTTATTTTTGCAGAAACAACTACAAAGACTACTCTATGGAGTCCAGGTTGCACTTCAGAATTCATGCAGCACTTGACAGCTTGAAGGTGTCACCCACTTCAACACCTTGAATGAGGAGGGATGTTTTTCATGCATACAATAGCCTACACAATCTTTTTGCAATCTTTTTTTAATCATGGAAAAGAAACAACCTAATGATTGTTTTCTGTCATCTCTGATTTGATGTATGTCGTTCCTTTAGACTGTTCTTTTTCTGTATAGCATATATACTATATCTACTTGATACTTTAAAGAAGACCTTATATTTTGTTTGATAAAAATAATTTAATATTTGACTTGAATGGGGGATATTTTAAAAAAAAGTTGATGGTGCAATAAAGTTTAATGCAAACACTTTATTTTTTTACGTGAAAACAGATGCTGGTTATGCAGTGGAACTGGTGATAATTCCTGCATTTTTTTGAACGTTTGATTTTCTGCAGTACACTTGAGACCTTTTTGCCTCTGGAACAAAAATGCAATGTCTGCAGATAACCTTACCCACATTTGGCATACCATATTCTGAATTTTGTGTTCCAGAGGAAAAAAATCATCATCTTAGATGTAACTTCATTTTGGGAATAAAATGAACCTGTCTGAAGTACAGTATTTTTACACTGTCAGATAAAGTTAAGCAGGGCTACAAGTATAATGTCTTAGCAGGTCTGTTTCACTCCAAGTGGTTACAGGGGATATTTTTCAGTCATAGAAAAGCAGGGCTACTAGGGACATGAAGAAGTCATGTATTCTGTATTCTTGTCCTAAAGCAGAATCAACAGTCTTACATCGTTCCTGACAGACTTGTTTAACCTGTTGTTTTTTTTAAAAAAAGCTTGCACTGAGAGAAATTTTGTAACTTACACAGGATGTCTTTTCCTATGGGAAAAGACTGGGAAATTTTTCCTGATGTCTACTCCAAATAATTCTTGGCACAACTGAAACTGATTGCTTCCCATCTTTCCTGTCATGGATCTGGAGAAAGGATTGTTCTTTCCTTTTTTTGAAGCAGTCTTCTAATATTTAAGACTAACCCCCTTGTTGGTATTTTGTGTTCTTGGATTCCAACCAAAATAAATAAAAATTTGCAGGATTTATTTATTTTCCTAATAATTGGAATAACTCATTAATGCAAGTTGATTGTGCATCAAAAAATTAATCCACTTCTAAACTTCGAGTTAAGAAAATGTGCATATTCTAATTATAACTTTCTACCAAAAATGTATAGTAAAATTGATACACTTATAAGTGCATGTATTTTTCTTTTCATATTAATATGTGAGCAGCAGTATCCAATTAAGTTTCCCAATTCATTATATATGCAGATTCTGCTAGCTGTCTATTCTTAAAAATAAGAATATACTTTATTTTTATTTAAACTGTTTATTTAACTGTTCTTTCACTAATTGCTGCAAAACTTGCCCATTTCCATATTTTATTAATGCCAGTATATTTAATTCTGCACAGTAAATTCATAGTAACTATGCTCCTGTATGTGATTCTCTGCCTTTAACTCCCATCCAAGAAAAAACAGAACAAAAGAAATAGGCTAAAAACATGTCTTCAGTAAATGAGTTACTGAAAGCTTCTAATTAAACAGTCAATATGATGTAAGTGCTACAGTTATTCTTCTCAGGTGACTGAGAGTACAGCTTTCTTCTATGACTTTATAAATAACTGAGTCATTTAATTGCATATAAATCTGTAATACAGTGGCATACTTACAGGTGAAGTAAGAGTTTAAAAGTATTAGCTAAATAAACATAACTGGTCTTTCAAAGTGGAAGCCTGATCTAAACTCTGTCTTTACCAGTTTGTATTTGTGCCTATTGTAAATGCATAACTAAATTATCCTGTAAAATTATACACATACAGGTTTGAAGCTTAGACACCTGAGATGCTTATTTTAAAATATATTCTGTTGACTGTACCTGTAAAGTACAAAAGATATTTGACTCTTTGTCAGCAGAGATTAGCATATACCACCAACTGACTTCTCTAATTACTTGCCTGTTTATACACATCTGATTATAAGCTGTAGGCAGCAAAAATAAAATTCTGTACATTATATTTTCAGACGATATTTTCAATACCTCTTTGGGTATTTACATGTTCAGTTTAGGATTATTTTGATTTAATCTGATTATTGTATTGTAGCTATTAAATGGGACTATTTCATTTTCTCATGAAAGATTGTGGAAACAGTTGCCAGTAAAACTTCTATAAATTGTGTTTCAAATAGTAATTCACTCTACAGAAGAGTTAGAACTGGGACTACAGACTCAGGATGGAGCATGAAGTAGTCTCTGAGCTCTTGTTCCTGTGGGGAGTGTCTTGCAGTTAGTATTTTATGGGTGATTTGGGATACAAATAAAAATTAACGGAAAGTAAACAATGAGCTTCCTTAGAAGCTGATTTTTTGAAAGTTTAGTACAAAGTGTCATGTAGCAGTGTACTTTTTTCACAGATAATGATATTGACTGCAGAGAGAGTAAAAGAGAACTTTGTTTTCTCTGGTTCAGCCTTCCAAAGTCAATATTAACACCCTGTGTATGTTACACTTTGTCTCTTTTTGGGATCAGCCTTTTTGCACTCATGCAGAGAACAGGCATATCAACACAAACTTGCAATACCCTCTGTAGTGTTTTGATGCCCTGAGGTCCCCAGCGTAAGTACTGTTTACAGCTTGTCTCCTTTTCTATGCTGCTGTTCCAAACTTGTTTGTCAGAATGCCCATTTGATGAAGTTTTTAGCTTTATTCTGAATTTTTTTTCCAGCTTATTAAGGGTCGAAATATAAATGTGTGAGAGTGATTTGTAGCCCTTCACTTAAGGTAGGTCTCAGTAGAGCTGTAGGATGCTTTGTTTTCCCAATGCTGCAGAAGAAGCGCATGTCTCCCGATACAATATGTCATTGATGCAGTATTATTTAGTACTGCAGTATTATGTCTAAGTTAAGTGATTTGTGGGTAAGAGTTAACATGAAAAGTCTATGGCTTTTTTTTTTTAACCTGCTGTATACTGTACTGGGCCTTAAATACAACTCTGGTTTAGTCTTACTGCTGTTTATAATCTTCACCTCACTTGTTCATGTCCCATGAGAGTTTCGAATAATGTGCTGAAACTGTGAGCAAAGCTGAGCGTTTACCTATGATGCTGTAACCTCCATTGATAATATTAGCAATTATAATATATATAAGAGCAAAGCTAAGTCCTTAGTTTAAGTAAGCAAGGCTAAACTTACAGAGTTATGTTATGGCAAAAGGTCATTCTGATCTTTCCGATAATAGATGTATATTTTTTTTTAAGGTGAGGAATAATAAAGTAGCCTGGTTATAAGACAAACCTTCTCTTTGATTAAGAATTGTCTATTTAGAAAATATTGCAAAAATCTTCTTGTCTGTGCATATCATTCAGATGTTTAGTGTTTTGGTGAAAGACTGTTGTGTTATCATTTTTAAGTCCTAGCTCGCACCACTTTTTAACAAAAATTGAAAGAAAATACATGTTAAAAGAAAGCTGATTAAAGTTTGGTTTGTGTCTGTTCTAATTTGCATGGGTAGGAGCTGTAGTTAGCACCTTATGGCCAGAAAAATGTACAATAATCAGATCCTGTTATGTTTCCAAAACACCTTGCCAACTAATGTTTAAAAGAAGGAGTTTCTTGTAACAAATCCAACTTATACTTTGCAATTATTTTATTACTAATCTTAATGTTTAATGTCCTTTTGTTTCTGTATATTCTTACACTGCATAGTTCAACAAAGAATGTTTATATTTGCACTGGTGGTACGGATTATTTGCTTCTAAACTATTGAGGTTTGCACGTGTTCATATCTGGTACTTGAGTAAAAGCAAGGTCAGAATAATGAAGACTGAGGGATGAAGAAGTACATTCTGATTTCAAGAGCATGTAGAAATGTTCATTGTGATGCATTGGAATGATTCTCACTTCAGAGGAATAAATCACACTTTATGCTTGTGCTACCCAGTGCTGAATTTGGCACTGTATTCTAGTTGTGCATAAAGAACCTTCACCTGAGATTTATCAAAACAATATTTAAAAAAAAAGGCCTGATCTCAAGTTTAAACACACTAACTTGGGCATATAGCTCTTTCTATGCAACCTATCTAGGCTGAGAGGTTGTACAAAGCTATCAAGGTCTCGGAGAGAATAAAAGGTCTTTGAAAATGTAGAGAGCAAATATAAAATAAACTACTTTAGTCTTTATTTCTCACCAGAGATCAAATAATAACTTTAAATGGTATAAAATACCAGAGTGATTAATAATTAACTCATTCTGTTATCAGTTATATCACTGAATTTAGTGAGAACTAGACATAATATACCCCTAAGATTGTTTTAAAATCCCAACATTAAAAACAGGGAGAAAATTATTTCTTTACATGTGTGCAGGGCTTGGTTTTAGTAACATTGAACACCTACTTTTCTAAAAGTTATTTTTTAATGTGGCATGGTTAAAAGTTTTCATAGTTGCATGTAATTTTTACCTGATGCTTCCCAGCAAATAGGTCGACTTAATTACCATGGTTTGAATGATATAGTTATCATAAGAACAGACAGTAGAAAACGTAGCTCGCAAAAAGGCCAAAGAATGGAGATGCCTCTGTATACTTGTTGTTCTCTGTAAGACACGAATTACAACATTAGACATACCATAGTCCAGAATAAAACCTTTGTAGCTAGATTAGAGGGCTTGCAGAGCATTGAATAAAGGAAGTACATTGAATAGAAGAAGGAAAAGGAAGACACACTGAAGAAAGATACAGGCACAAAAATAGGAACTACATCTGCATTCTTGAAAGCATTTGGCAGAAGTTGTGTTACATTTCTGAGGCTAAGCTATAGTTACCTCATCAGCTCAACACTTGGACTTCCTGTATTCCAGTCAGGGGAAGGATATCAGCAGTGCTGGGACCTTAGCTCAGTTTGGTTGGTTGTGGGGGTTTTTGTTGTTTTTAAATCTGGTCTTGTCACTTACCCATTTTCGAATAAATTCTGTAAGACAGCTTCATAAAGAAATTTAAGTATTATGGCTCTGAACTTTGCAGTTTGTAGAAGACCAGCCTCTGGAAGAAATTAGAGCCTGTGGTTAGCATAGCAAATCAATGTTTAATGAATGCAAA